TTGACTCGCCCCATGTGACTCCGCCCCTTTCACGCCGTAACCGCCCACTCAATTTCGGCTCCGCCCCCAAACGCCCCGCCCACCTCTCATTGGCCGGCGGCGTCCCCTCGCGCCCACCGCCACCTCTCATTGGCTGGGGGCGTCGCCTCGTGCCCGTCGCGGCCTCCCATTGCCTGCGGGTGCCGTTGTTGTTTCATTCCTATTCTTTCTGTAAACAGGAGCGGTGCGGGTGCCGCCTGTCAGCTCTGCTCACGTTTTGTCACCTCTTCTCGCCTCTTCTCGCCTCTTGTCAGCCCCCACCTCTCACCTGTCATCTCTTTTCACCTCTTCCCGCTTGTCATCCCTTGTCCCCGGTCACTCGCCACAGCTCGAAGCTCGCTCGCTCGCTCCCTGCCCGGGCCATGTCACTGCGCGGCGGCCGCGGGTTGCCCGGGCTGGCGGCCATCTCCTTGCTGTCCCTCCCGGGCACGGCCCCGCTCACGCCGCTGTCGCTGGACAGGGGTGACCCGGCGGGCCTGGACAGGTGAGGGGGTGGCCGGGGGCCGGGCTGCCTTTGGACGCCCGTCCCCCGCGGGACTCCCCCGGCGTGACACGGCTGCCCCGCCTGGGACGCTTTTGGGATCCCCTCCTTCAGCTCCAGCCCCGCCAGGCCGAGAAGGGCTGGCCGGGCCCCTGACACTTGCCCGTCCCGCAGGCACCGGGACACCCCGAGGAGGGGGCACGGAGGGCTGCCCTTCCCGCGGCTCTTGCTGTCCCCGGAGCCGCTGGCCTCGGACTGTCCCCGGGACTGGCTCTTCTCCCAGCCCACGGATGCAGGTGAGGGATGGAGCTGCTCCGCCCCACAGCTGTCCCCAGCCTCTCCGGCCCCAGCCTGGTGCCGAGGCTGTTGGAGGGGGGTCGGGGATGTTTCGGGAGGGTTTGGCCGAGGGGCTGGCCAGGGGGTGGAGGCGGGGGAGCTTGTGGGGAGTGATGGGCTGCATTCCTTGGAGCTCAGCCAGGAAGCGCTCCGGGGCGGACCCTGCTCAGGGTGACACGCGACATTCCATGCGGGACCGCTGCTCCCAACGGCAGTGCCACCCGCCTGCTTGGGGGCTCCCTGCCCGCCCCATCCTGCCGGTGCCCTGGCCTGGGGCCAGGACCCCCATCCCCACACTGGGGCTACCCTTGTCCCTCGTTCCCGCAGGACTGGGGCCGGACTCCCGCACACAGCAGAGCCCCGCAGCCGTGGAGGAAGAGTGAGTGGCCCCATCCCCGTGTCCCCCCGGGGACACCCCCTGTCCCTCCCCTGCCTCTCCTGAGCAGCAGGGCCCGCTCTGAGCCTCAGTGGGGGCTGCAAATCCAGCTGTGAGCCCTTGGCTGTGTCTGCAGGGTGACAACCTGGGCTGCTTGGGCGGGGACGCGGGTGCGACCCCCCATAAACCTCATCTCTGCTCACCCCACAGCTTCCAGAAAAAGATCTCGGACTCTGGGAGAGTTCTCAAAGAGTAAGTGAAGGGGCTCTGTCTCTGTGGCCAGGCTGTCCCTGTCCCAGACCCAAAAGCCAGACTGTCCCCATGCCCCTCCTGGGGTCCCACTCAGGCCATCGGTGTTCGCTCAGTGCCTGGAAGTGCTTCTGCCGCGGGTCCCTGTGGGGAGCTGTGACAGCCCTGGGGAGCTCTTACCCCACCCTGAGGGCATAAGGGACGGAGGTGACAATGGCAGACATTGGGTGGGACATAGCGGTCCAGGCCACGTGCTGTCAATTGATCCTTTCCTTTGGCGGCTCTTGCAGCAGGAAGCTCCTTCGCCAGAGGATCCACTCCTTGCCGGTAAGTGCTGGAGAGCGTGCAGGATGCTGCCGAGTCCCTGGCCGAGATGGGACGAGGATGGAGGCAGGAGATGGGGCTGTGCTGTGCAGCATCTCTCAGCGTCCGGCTGTCCCACAGCAGTGGCAGCTGGAAGGCAGCCCGGTCCTGAAGGACATCACCCAGCTACAGGAGCGCAGGGACAGAGGGCGGCGGCGCCAGAGGGATCCCGGGGATGAGGTGAGGGGGCAGAGAGAGCTGGGGGTCATGGAGGGAGCAGAGGGATGCTGATGCCGTGTCCCCCTCACTGCAGGAGGGCTTTGTCCCCAAGAAGCTGCAGAGGCTGGGCCAGCGGAGCCGGCTGCCCGCCGGCCATGGGGCTGCCAGGAGGGACTCCCTTGCCAAAAGCCCCTGCGGTGCACCAGAGCTGCTGGTGAGAGAGGCTGGAGGGCTTGGGAGGGCACCGAGGATGGGTGATCCTGGGGCTGAATACATGGGAGCTGCCTCTCCAACCTCCCTCAGTGCCCTGGAGACGTGTGGATGTGGGAGATGGGTGGGCTTGGGACGGTCATGGGGACACCCTGACTCCAAACCTGGAAGGCACTGGGAGGTGGATGGGCCTTGGGTACGGGGTCCTGAGGGTGGGAAGCAGCTGGAAGATCTTGTGCCCTTCAGGATCTCCTCTGCCTCTCCCCCAAGTCCCCCCAGCTGCTGCCCTGGCAGAGTGATGCCACTGTGCCCCAGGGGATGCAGAAGCTTGTGAGCACACCAGGGATGAAGAAGGAGAAAGCAAAGCTGGTACGTGGCAGCCTTTGGCAGTGGATGGAGACCCACAGTCCCCTCTTGGTCTCTCTAAAGGGGGTCAGGGGCTGAAGGTCCCTGGGGTGGGGGCTGGTTGGTGAGCAGCACCAGCCCTGGTGCTGAGGACTTGCCAGAGCCCAGGCAGCAGCACAGACTCTCCCTACAGCGTCTGGGGAAGCACATCCTGTGCCAGCAGCTCTTCTACTCGCCCTCGGAGCCCTGCAGTGCCCCTAGACCCATCGTGAAGAGGAGACAGCCCTTGGACAGGGACACTCCTGTCAAGGCCAAGCAGCAGAAGAGGGTGGCTGGCAGCCCTAAGCAGGTGGCATTGGTGGAGCTGGTGTGTAATGGGGAAGCTGTGGGGTGAGAGCCCGTCTGTCATTGGCAGGACTGGGCCATGCCCCAGCTCTGTCAGAACCCCTGCTGATATCTGGGGGTGTCTCTGGTTGGTATCTCCACAGGGAGTGTGCCTGGAACCTTCCAGTTCTGCCCAGCTGGAGAAGATCGAGAACCTGCTGGCCAACGATGACCAGGAGCTCATTGGGGACTTCTCCAAGGTAGGGGCACAAGGATGGGGCAGGTCTAGGGATGCTGCCCCCATTTTTCTGAGCAGGGAGCATCATTAGAGCCCTGCACTGCTGTGAAAGCCCAAAGCAAGCTGGTGGCCCTTGCCTGAGGACACGGGGCTTTGACTTGCCAGCCTGCAGCCCCTGCGGAGGATCAAGAGCCCCATCCCTGCTCCTCTGGTCCATCCCCCTGCCACAGCCATGTGTATCTGTCCCTTGCCCTCCTGTGGGTGCAGAACTGGCCACTGGGGGCTCCTGGGCTGGGGGGACAGGTGCCATCCGCGGGAGGTGTCCCTGGGATGGGGATGATCCCAGAGCCTGTCTCCTCCAGCCTTACCTCCTACCGACGGTGGAGGGGAAGGACCCAGGTCTGAAGTACATCTCTCCTGACACGGTAAGGGGACAGCGACCCTTCCCCATCCCCCCCGCAGGGCTGCCTGCCTGTTCCCCCCCACCTGCCCCTGTGTGTCCCCCCCTTGGTGATGTGTTCCCTTCGCAGCTGGTGGCGGTGCTGACGGGGCAGTTCTGCAGCTCCATCCAGAGCAGCATCATTGTGGATTGCCGCTACCCCTACGAGTACGAGGGGGGTCACATCAAGGTCAGAACTCCCCCACCATGTTCCTGGGGCCGGGAGGGAGGGGGTGTCCGAACCCCATCCACTCTCAGAGGGGTTGAGCATTTCCCCAGGAGGCGCTGAGACAACAGGGATTCGGGATCCCCTGGGATTTGTTGAGTACCCTCCGAGAGATTCTGCAGCCCTTCCAAAGACACTGAGCTCCCAGAGAGGAGTAAAGCAGCCCCCACAGTGGTACCCTGAGCCTCCAAAGGGCTTGAGCAGGCCCCCATGAAGGTTACTGAGCTGCCCAGAGGGATAGAGCCGCACCCATGAAAAGTGCCAAGCCAACCCCTAAAGGGTTGATACCCAAGTGGAAAGAGGAGCTTGATGGTGGGGTAGGCTGGGGGACAGCATGCTTGGGTCCTTGCAGAAAATTAAATTGGAGGCAGAGGGGAAAAATGGGCCTCCTGTCCCTCCCCAGGGTGCTGTCAACCTGCCGCTGCAGCGGGACGTGGAGGAATTCCTGCTGGCGCAGCCCATCGTGCCCCTGGACACCAGCAAGAGGGTGATCATCATCTTCCACTGTGAATTCTCGGCTGAGCGGGGGCCCAAAATGTGAGCGATGGCAGAAGGGTACATTGGGGTCTGCCAGCCCCCCAGGCATGCTCAGGTGTCCGCACGGGGGTGATTTCGTGGGGCTTTCTCTGTGGCACAGGTGCAAGTTCCTGCGGGAGAGGGATCGGTCCTGCCACGAGTACCCCCAGCTGCACTACCCCGAGCTCTACATCTTGAAGGGGGGGTACCGTGAGTTCTTCTTCCAGTTCTCGGTGAGTCCCCACCCGCTGTCCCCTCACTGGCAGGAGGGCAGCACCTGAGGGGGGCACAGGGCACTGGGGAAGGGCAGCTCTGGCTCTGAGCATCTTCCCTGCAGTGGGAGGGGATCTCCAGGGCCGGGGGCGCTGGTTTTGGCCCGGGATGGGGGCGAGCCGGAGGCTGCGCTGTGGGGGCTGACGGAGCCGTGGGTTGCAGAGCCACTGCGAGCCCCAGAGCTATCGGCCCATGGAGCACCCGGCCTTCAAGGAGGAGCTGCGCAAGTTCCGTGGGCAGATCCGACGCGCTCGGCGGGCGCTCCTAATCCGCTAGTGGCACCTGTGAGCGCTCGGGGGTCCCACAGCCCTGCCAGGAGAACGCTGGAGTAGGCATTATATTTAGTATTAGGTATTTAGTGCTAAGATTGGGTTTGCGTTTGCTTATTGTTACGACTTTGTTTTTTTCTATTATTGTAAATATTTTTGTTTGCTTATCATTATCTTCTTATTATTATTATAATTATTATCTTATTATTTCTTATTGTTTATCTTCATAATTTATTTTGTGTTTATTGTTATTAATATTTTTGTGTTTGTTGTTAGGATCATTTGTTCCAGTCTCCGTTAATAAACTCCTCCTGCAGGAGAACAAACCTGGCTCTTGAGCTCTCACTGCCCCCACCAGGGCCCTGCAGGGCTGGGAGCCCCTGATCCATGGCTGGGGAGACAGGCAGGCTGGGCTGGAGGGCTGGAGGAGTTTGGGTACAGGGACTGCTGCTGGCAGGGGACAGGGCTGGGGTGATGGCTTCCCTGTGGGGTGTGGTGGCTTCCCCAAGAACAAGGTGGGTGGGGGCAAGGGCAAGTGTTGGCCCCTTGGCTGCTGTTCCTGCCTGCTGGGGTGGTGGCAGTATGGCCCTGGGACCCCCATAGGATCCTCTGTCCTGGGTATGCTGCGCTTGGCAGGACCTCTGGGACACTTGGGGTGGCTGTGGGACCCCCACAACCAGGATCCTGTCTTTTCTTATTTGTCTCCTGAACTTTGCAGCACCCACAGCTTTGGGACACCCATTCCTGAGGGGAGCTTGAGCGCAGTAGGACTCCCAGAACTGTGGCAACTCTCAGTTTGGGGGTCAGTCCACTGGGGACACAGGACATCAGGACACTCAGGAGCATTAACCTCTCCAAATTCTGAGTCCCTCCTGTAGTGATTACACCCCCTCTCCATGGGATCACCATGGTAATGACAACCATTGTGAGTGGGGTGGGCTCATCAGGACCCCCAGGCCATCAACACCTCACCCCCTCTGCCTGGGATCCCCATAACCGTGTTACCCCTCCTTGCAGGGGTATCTTCTGACCTTTGCAGCACCCCCCGGGCTGTGACAATAATTTTGGGGGGACAGGAATTGGTGGGATCCCCATGGGATCTTGAAGGGGTGGGTGTCCTTAACACGAGGGTCCCCCCATTCTGTCCCTGGCAAGTGTCCACCCAGTGCCAAGTGTTTCAGTCACCCTTGGGGCACCCATCCTCCCTCCACTTCCCTGGATTCCTGAGGAGCTGATGCCACTCCAAGATGCCCCAGGGGTGTTTTTCCATGTGCCCCCTTCCCCAGCCAGGTGACAATGGCTTGGTGATTGGTGTTGGGCCTGGTGATTTGGTTTGTGCCCCATGAGAGAATCCAAAAATCCCAAAAATCCTCCTGGTCTCCACAGCCATGTCCTGCTCCACCCTAAACTGCCAGAGTTCCTAGATCAGTTCATGGACAATGCTATTTTAAAGCTGTTAGATGGAGCATCTGCACACACACGGGTAAAGAGCTGCGTCCTCGATTAAACAAAAGGTTGGGGTCTGGGGTGAGAAACAAAGGGGCTGTGGGGTACAAGAAAGGCAACTTAATCTGCCCCAGAACTGAGCAGGTAAAGCAGAAAACAGCAATGCTAACCACCACGCACAAGAGCAAAATAAAGGACTGCAGAAAACAGCAAAAACAAAGACCTTTACTAAAACCACCTGCAATTTTATTTGTCAAATCCCCTTTCAACTCTTGAAATGTTTTAAGGCAGCAGTTGACAATACTTGAATAGTATAAAATGTCATAAAATAAGATGTGAAACACAGCTTTCTCAGGATTCCTGTTTTGTATGTGAATAAACATGTAAATTAAAAAGTACACGGAAATTCCCTGTGAGCAGAAGGAAGTAGTGCTTTCCAACATCCACATCTTCCAACTGGATCTGCTCCTTACCCATAGATACTTTTCCTCAAGGAACCTTTCAAAACATCCCTCTGAGCTACAAACAACATCCTGCCTGGCACCTCCAGGGTTTCACAAGAGAGAGATAAGGCAGGGATTCAATATTCAAAATTCCCCTGAGCTCCCAGTGGGATGGTCAGGAAAAACAGCCCGGGAATTAAGATCAGATTACTGCCCCTCAAATGCTAATTTGGTCTTTATTAGTCATTTAAAAATATAATAATAGTAAAGACAGCAAATATAAAGCCCTTTAGGGACTCAAATGGAGTTTAAAGTAAGAAATTTAAAAATCATTCATGACTTTAAGCACACAAAAAAGACTCAAAAGGAGAATCCTATTTTTTAACTATTAAAATGAGTATTTCTGAGTTTCTGAATCAAATATTTTAGCACGAACTAAAAGTTTAAAGGAAAAAAAAATCAACAAAACCAACCAAATAATCTGTGCAGTCAGTACCTCAAGTTTTCATCTTCATTATTTTGTCTGATTAAGTAGGCACATTCCAGAGGAAATTTAATTGAGGTTAAATTTTAACTAAAGTGGAAAGCAAATGTGGAAAATGTGTCTCAAAAAGCCTAAGTAAAAATTAAACAAACAGGTAGCCTTCCCTAGGCTCATGTCAGGACTAAACCATACATAAAAAAACATTCAATAAACCTGCATCAATTTCCAGGCTGCTCATCCACCTCCAGACTTTCTTACAATTGTATCTCTGGCTGAAGATATTATATTTTTTCCTGAAGTATAGGTTTGGCTCTAAAAGATACCTTAAAAGCAGGCCAAAAATATGTTATCAAAGTGTTACCAAGGGTGCTGAGTACTTCTGCAGCCAGGGTGGGACTGCACATTTACTTTCTGTCCATTTCCAGTTTTCACCGAAGACTGGTCAAGCTGCTCACTCACCTGGAGCTTAAAAGGTTTCCAGCCTGAAGGGTATACACAGTATATTAAATTTCTTTTTCTAAAGATGATGAACAATTTGACAAAATTACTGGTGCAAGGCTCTAAACCAAAAACTTGCTATCATGTGGTAATGCCTTTAATTACATAAGGAAAATACTGGATGAACCTGAAGCAAACTACTGGAATTCTTAACTACTGCAGTCCAGAAATTTAATAACTCCTCAGCTTTGGCCATACCCATCATCTCCTCTGAGAAATTATCTCCATTCCCTGGAATCCTTGAAGCCCTGAGAGGCCGCTTTCCTGGGAAAATATAGTTCTCAGAAATAATTCATATTGCAAATGATTCATGTTTTCAAAGAAAAACCTTGCTAAATATTGAAACTCCCAGGAAAGCTAAAAATAAGGCACAACACTGTTATTGGGCATGAAATATTAATCTTTATTATGTCTTTCTAAGAAGTGCATCCATAAGAGCAATTTACAAAACTTGCTTGTTTTGAAATATATAAGGTGTGCCCTGCCTGCTGACATCTCTGTGTATGGTCTGTGTTGCTGGATACTGGTGCTGTGCTAAATTTGACTTTTTTTATCACTAAACAAAGAGAATCTAGGTATATATATTTATAAATAATTATGGAGCTTTTCCAGGAAATTGTTTCACAAAACCAGCCAAACAACTTTCCATATAAAATGACACAGCTGATGCCAGGGTAATGCAGACAACTTTTAAACAGACATGTTTCCATCTTTTCTCTTTTTGAGAAAATAGCACCTGTAAGTTTGAAGGGGTTGTGTGCATGCACACTTTGAACATTCATCACACCACATGGTAATCCTGTGCTACATGTCATTTATATGCCAAGTTCAAGCCTGGAATGGGGTGGGATAAGCTCCTCTCCAGGCATGCAGGATACTCATGACATCTCTGGGAAAATAATTGAATTCCAAGGCACAAAATGACAATTACCTGTTGACAATTTTCCACTGCTCAAAACAAGTAAAAATAGACAGCTAACGTTTGGACACTATAGTGACATTTACACCTCAAAATTTTGTTACTTACAGAGCTACCCTAAATTAGTCCCTACTACAGTAGAGAAAATCCATATTTTAGCTACATAGCCAAGGCCCCAAAATTTGAACTGCACTCTCAGAGAGCTGTGCTCTTAAAGCCATGATTAGCACAAGCTTGGTTTTGACAGTGTGCTGCCTTTTCCCCCATATCTTAAAAGAAAATAAATTACAAGACACGTTGCTGGGATACATCTGCAGAGATGCCATGAGGTGCACATGAATTACTGCACAGCTGCAATCTTAGAGGATAATATTACTTTGTAGTTGTTTCTCCTTTTATTGTGGACAGTAAACTGTCTCCAGGGGCAACAAGTGGAGAGAAAGAAAGGAAAGGAAAGGAAAGGTGCGGAAAGGTGCGGAAAGGAAAGGTGCGGAAAGCAAAGGTGCGGAAAGGAAAGGAAAGGAAAAAGGAAAGGAAAGGAAAAAGGAAAGGAAAGGAAAAAGGAAAGGAAAGGAAAAAGGAAAGGAAAGGAAAAAGGAAAGGAAAGGAAAAAGGAAAGGAAAGGAAAAAGGAAAGGAAAGGAAAAAGGAAAGG